TTTGAACGAAACAGGAAAAAAATAAGGTTGGATTCATGATCAGCGTTAAGAAATAGATCTAAACATGTACACAATTTAGTCAAAAGCATGATGTGCTGCAACTTTGCATAAAGTGCACCTTATAGTAAGTACAAACTATATAGTTTTATTTTTAATATACAATCGTAAATTATGGTTAGTCATCAAGATAGAGATCACATGTTCTTTTGATATAATGATATAGAAATAGATTTGATGATTTTTGTTTTTCGTGATATCAAAAAAATAAAGAGAATCTGAAGATACTATAATGAAGATAACAAGACAAGCAATATTCTTGTTACTTTTTTTATACGGCGATCCACAATGATTGTTCGATCATACAGACCGCTTTCCTAATTATAAATGACTGATAAGCAAAAGTGATACATTGAAATTTTCTCTCTCTCTCTCTCGCAAAAATACAGAAATATAGATGTTAGAACAGCAGAAAGTTCTCAAACGCTTCACCTAGAAAGAAATTCAACCGATCTGATAGCAATTATATCAAATATCCGATTGATTTACAATATGATCATGAATTTTGAATAATATTTAAATCAACTCGATTTAATATGTCTAAATGCTTTTTTTTACACTTGTACTACGTTCAAGAGATTTTTTTCTAGAACGACTGCATTCTTTAATCAATACTCATATGAAAGAACTAATACAGTATCTTTTAGACTTGAAACGTCGCGAAGATTCTTCAATTCATTTTGTGTAGAGCCTTTTATTTTGATGACCACACCTTAGTTATTAATTAAGGCCGTAGTGGTTCAAAATTTTCTTCCCTGTTCTTATATCAATAAAAACTTTCTACTAGATGTTCTTAAATTTCTTTTATTTCATTTGCTATGCTTTATGTTAAGACAATTTTTCTCTTCGAAGATACTTCAATCTAGATTATCGTTTAAACATAGTGAATATTCTCAATCAAAGCTTCCTTAGTATTACTTTCAAGTGATCAAAATATTTCATTTACATGTTTATTTGTATTTTGTTGTTAGTAGGTACTCTTGATTTTCAACTTTTATCTTATCAACAGAGTCTGGTATTGTTGAAAATCAAACATACTTACGTGTAAAGTGATACGAATGTGTTCGAGTTCGTTTTGTATTTGATTGCAGTCGTTTTTTTTTAGTATTTATCGTTGTCAAAAGTTTTTGATTTCTTGAAACTTACGCCTTGTTATGTGAATAAATTAGTCATGACATTGTCATCCATCAATACGTATACCATGGTATACTTTTTTGCCCTTCCTATTTCTTTTTATTTTTCATGCTGCTACGACGAGAGTAGAATACATTAATAACATACATATGCATACGAATGCACTTTACATAAGGATCTATGCAGTAAAAATATTTTGTGATAGAAATAAAACGAGAACCTGTTAACATTAACAATATTGAAAATATCTCAACATATATGGATTCAGAAATATCTCGACCTCATAATAAGTAAATGATCGTGAATACGATACACATCTTAAAGTTCCACTCAACAACACAAATATGATTCACTCATATCTTGACGTATGAGAGTCTTCTTCATTGAGTATGACAGTTATAATAATTCAGTCATAGTCAAACAGATTTCGTGTATGCTACAACGAAATACGTACGAAGAAATAAAAAAGAATCACACTCACTTTGATGTAGATCTATTAATGCCTGTTTCGTTCCTTCGAACTGCATATTTTTGTACTGCAAAGAAACGTGGCCATGTTTTAAATTTTCTCGTTCTTTACTGGCGAGAAGCGATAATTGTGTTTTGGTAGAAGAAAAAGGACGGGTGCGTATTCGATTGTATTTCGAGCCCTTTTTTATTTTCAACGTCTACTCTTATTCATTTAAACAAAGAATCAAAGATCATCAGTTTCTGATCATTTTGATGCTAAAATAGTGATAGTTTGGTTCGGTCATAGCTTTCAACAAACCTTGATTGTCTAGCATACTAAGTAACCAATTAATGATTAATACTAGTCAGCAATGTAAGCATTTGTTAGACAAAAAAATCAAGGTAAAAAGTGATTCAAAATTATTTTGAGGTGGGTGGGTGTGGGTGTAGATGCACAGATATGGCATAGCCGCATCCACACCCCAATTTGAGAAAAGTTAGTCTTATTGCTTTTAAGATATATATTATAGAGGAGTTTTTAAATAAATATCAGATGACATTGAAAACGACAAATCCTAATTTAAAATGTCATTCAGGAACTGATCATTTTCTTGGACATAAAGGTCCTTGTGCTTTACGTCGTCTCAAATACTTTGATGTATGTCAAGGATTTCTAGTGGATTCTTTACATTCACTTTAGCCGGGTTGTTTTGTAAGTTTTCCTGAATTTAAAGAAGACAGTTATGTTTCATCTGTTTTTTATTTCAGAAGCGATTAGTTAATATTGAGTTAGCTGATAAACAAATTCAGAAAAAGATCACAGAAGTTTTTGATACTATACATTACCCATCAAGCAGTTATCACATTCTTCGTTCATTATCTTATTTCAATGACTACAAAGGAAATGAATATAGAATGGCATTATTATATGGCTATCGGTGAGTTTAAAAGAATTCGAAAGATACTGCTTAACGAAAGTTGAATCGAAAACATGTGGCAATTATTATTTTGGCTATAATATATCTTTTTTGATAGTCATTCAGCGTAAGATGTGAGAAAATACTTCTTTTGCCAGTTTTGGAAGAAATATTAGGTCGCATGACAGTTGAAAAAACAATTTATTGTGATATAATATTTATTTACGTAGTTAATTCATTATTTGGTAGATCGTTCATGAATTTTATATCAGACGACAAGTATCAATCACTGAAGACTCTTGCTTTTGCTGCACATATAGGAGAGTCACGTTATATAACACCTGAGATGATTGATGAAATGAATATTTTATTAGATGAATTTGATCTTCGTTTACCAAATATGTATTCAGTAAGTATTATTCTTATTTCATCTGAGTAGTGAAAAGAATTATGAATTTTTTTAGCATAAAGATATAGTACCTGCTGTTCATGCAGTTTCATATTTGACCGAATGTGTGACGAGAGTCGATCCAATGTCTAATTGGAATACTTTTTCGTTCGAGTCAGTTGTTGGTAAGTAAAATGAAATTTCTTTATCGGCAAATATGATGTTTCTCTGATAGGATCATTTGTACGAAATATTAATAGTACTAAAGCTATAGATACCGAGTTGAAAAACTCACTCGAGCTTCTTCATCAGGGATGGTTGGCTGTGAGTAGCACATCATTTTCAGCTGTTGGTAAAAATTTTATAAAACAAATGCTTGCTAATAATCATCAAGCACTGCCTTCTTCGCTAAGAAATGGTTCTGATCGAAATTCTTCTGTTCGCCTTCGAAACAAAACTGTAGCTACACACGATTTCGATATTCTTCTTGCGCAAAAATGCACACCTCATTCATACACTATTTACAACACAGCTTTGATCAACAACATCAGGTTCAGTAACGAAGTAGATGCTTTCAACAACATTATCAATGAACAGCTGCCTTTTGTATAAAATGAATGCCTCAAGAAATATTTTCGTAGGGTTTTTGAATTGTATTGTGTAGCTGAAGGTTAATAATGACGTATTGTTTATTATAAAACAAGTTTCAATTACAGCACATGCTGATCAAATGATAATTGATGGTCAAATACTTCGATGCAATAATGTCATGTTTGGGAAAATAACGAAACCTATAGTTTATCATATGATTCGAACGTCAAACATAATTGAAAAGTTAGGATTTCAATATGAGAAGTCACAATGAAATGCAACAAATCCTTCATATTTATTTTTTCGATATCCTAATTTTTACACGAACACATGATTTTGATTCATATGATGTAAATGTTATACGGATTCTCGCTATAATCAAAGAAATGTTTTTTTTACATAAACAAATGTACAGCAAATATTTTGTTTTTGAATTGATTTGGCAGATCACAATGATAAATGAAAGTTCTAAACGGACTAAATGTCTTTCAATCATACTCTGGAACAATAAAAAACATAAATTCATAAGAATATAAATAATTATGGGAACCACTATCCCAATAAAAAGAAATTAAACTACTTTGAACATTTACAGCTGCTTTCGTTCGGAAAGAAGATGATTATTAACGTTTCTCACTATCTTTTACGAAGAAGATAATGCATTATATAATCGTTTCAGAGGCTATTGAATGTGAGTAACGCTTGAAAACGCTAACTGGACGTAAAAACGGGAAGAAAAGTGATGACCACGTTATTCTTTGCCATTTTCTACCGTTCCCGAGCAGAACGAGTGATTACGATCGTTTAAACGGCATTTTCAGCGTTTCACTTCTTCCTGGGACACCCCACACCCCTTTTACGGTATGTTTTTAAATGAAAGTCGTGGTCCCCCTTAGAAACACCAGAAAAGTTGATTTTCGAATTTCGACTTGAAACTTTACATATATGCAGATCTTACCGAGAATAGTATTTTGTAAAAGTTTCTGATCTCTTTGCTGTTGTCATCTGTAGATACAACTATGATAATGTCATTCAGATAAACCAAAAGATTTGGTATTCTCATTTCAGGATCAGAAAAAATAGAAAGACCTGAAAGTTTCAGAAATAACTATTCTCGGTAAGGTCTGTTTAGATGTAAAGTTTCAAGTCGAACTTCGAAAATCAGTTTTTCTGGTGTTTCTGAGGCAGACCACGACTTTCATTAAAAACATATCGTAAATGTGTAGTATCTCCGTAGCAATAAACTAGCAGCCCGAATTTGTTTCAAGGTATTCATAACTCTTTTGTGCCTACATAATGCACATAGTCTGAACACAAAAGCGGTTGATCAGTTGGGAATCTTCCCTCGTAAGTTGATTAAAGATGCCAATCAAAGTAATTACCCACAGAAAATGCAATTGATTCATGATTATGATACACAAAAAAGAAGGGCAGATCGCAAGTTCAATGTTTAAGAATATATTTTATAGATAAGGGAAGAATGCTCTTGGAAAGAGATCAGCAAAAATCAAGAACATATCAAATCTTAACATGTCATCACATTGGCCTTGATGTGGTAAGATGTTGACTGTTTTAATTCGGTAAAAAACCAATCTCAAGCTTTCATCTGTTTTGACCAAATCAGTCAATTCATTACCGATTTGCATTATATCTGCAATATTTTTCAATCTTAGAGATAATTTTGTCACATTTGGTGATATTATAAGCCACATTATCAATGTCCACGCATTTACTCCATCAAGATCACATGAGTTCATATTAAGATGCTTGACATTCGATAATAATGGAGTTGTTCGTGTATTGACTAGCTAGAAAAGTAAAATATCAAAAAGTCAATTACTAAATCACTCTAACAACAGTTGGTATTTCAAAGAATCAATGAACAATAAGCACAAGAAACCCTCATCATCGAAAAGTGAAGCACATGCAAAAGGGCAAGGAAAAATATAGCAGTCTTGGATCGAATATATTTGAATCATTTTTGTCTTAATCAAGAAAAATACTCTTATCTACTAAGCCATGTAACATAATAGTTTTCTACCGGTAAAAAATTAAAGTTGACGAATGATAACAGAAAATGTCAAAACAGAGATTTCAGAAACATAGTTAGTCTACTTGGTAGTGTCAATCAAAAGAACCAAAATCAATAAGTTTGAATTTGTGGGTGTGTTCATTTGATTATTCTCTGTCAGCTTGTCAAACGAAAATACCCTTTTATATATGAAGCAAGACAGTTTATTCCTATAGTTTATAACCAATGAGATAAGTACATGCTTAGATGAAGAAAAAGAGGAATACCCTCACCTTTCGGCTACTTTGTTTTATAGGATGCCGCCCGAAAACATTTTCGAAATTCTGATATTTTTTATGGACAACAATGGCTACTAGCTATACTCTGTACAAAACGTATGTCACAGCGCAGTGGGTATGCTATCGTACGAGTCATCCGCGGCTAATAAACATTAGTGAATTGTTCCAGGTCATTTTATGCCTGATGGCACCGATGTTTAAACAAATCACCTTAATAGTGTCTACTGACCGACTTAAACATTCATCCATGGCAGCCAACATATCTTGAAATATTAGTGTTAACGATTGTGAGTCAAATATTACTACTGCTATCTATCTCCCTCTATGCAATCCATTGTCCTATCAATAGACTATGCAAAAATTGAATTGCTTGGTAATTCTAGCAACGCACCGATTTTATCAATCATCTTCCCGTAGTCTTTTCTTTGTACCTTCTAACTTAATATATAATAGCTATTCCCCAATGAAGAAGAGAAACAATTTTATCTTGACTGTCCAACAATAGAAACTCGATTTGATGATGATGATAAAATTGACCGAAAACCTATCTGTGATGTGTGAAACTCTCATCCTACAGTACCCGATATTTCGATAGATATTCGAGTTAGTCAAGTTAAAGTCAACCAGATATTCTAGCTTCTAATACGCAAAGTCCTGCTGAAAACTTTTTGTCAATTTATTGGGATTTGGTATCGACCTGAAATATTCTTCTAATAGATTAGCATTACAGAACATCTATATGTTCTGTAGTCCATGTCACAGAATATGCTAGAAATCTCGATCTGCTTTTTTTGTTCGAGAACGTTTCCATTGTCTTCTATCCATTTTCATCTAATACATGTAATCACTATAGGTAAAAACGAACCTGTTCGCTTAGTTTCCAATGTGTGAAACTGAGTTCTTGATAACATGAACGAAACGTGTGACCAATGAAATGTAGAAAATTGAGAGTGATTGGTTGATTTGAGGTAGTAACAAAATTGATTTTTCTTATTTTAGTAAAGTAAATTTGCCATGGATCAAGATTTCCTTTATTTACCAACCACTTCTTCAGATCAGTGGAGAATTTCACTGATACAGGATGAACACATGGCATTGTACCAATAAAGATCTGACCATCAAGATTACGTTGAATGAGTACTAATGGTTGTCGATCATTCAACCACCAATCACTTTGGAATTGCTGTAACAGTTCAAGCATGTTAATTTCTCTATTTGTATGTTCAAAGACGAAAGCCAATTTCTTAAGACGTTGACACGGTTGAAATAATGTTGCTAGCTGTCGTCCATCAAATAGAAGTTGAGAGGTATTAATGATCAAGGTGACATCTACCAGAGATAATTGATAACAAGTAATCAATGTTGTAATTGGAGTGACATTTGAGCTGTTAACATCATTGACTGTAATATGTAACTGAGCTAGATGTGTGGATTGTGGAATGAAAGCTGAAATAAAAGAATAATTGCTCACACGACGTCTTAGTCCGAGACACATGATCCTCAGCTTGGTCAAATTGGGTGCGAGCGCACAAAAACTGAACATATCTTGACTTGTGCAATCTTTAGCAGATAAATGTACAATGGCTGGATACGGTAAACAATTGGCAACATCGCGTGCCTAATAAGAAATTCATATGCTAAATATAATTTCAAAAAGTCAAAAGATTTTACGTACTTGCTGATCGTCAGTTGGCCAATAATTACTATTAAAAAGTGAAAATTTATTTGTCTCATCAGAGGGTAACATTTTACATAGTCGGAGTATATTCAAACATGAAATAATAGCGCCTATGGCCAAATGACGTTCAACATTCAATTCGACAGTGAAGGGTGACGAATATTTGAGAATGACTGTACGCAGCTTGAGAAATAAATATGTACATGGAAAAATAGCTGGTACTGATCCAGCATCGAGAGAGATTGTTTCGATGACATTTTCGATATGCGGCATTGATTCGACCAACCATTTTCGTGTGATCTTGCAAGGAAAGTTGAAATTACGAGCCGATTCAATAACAATCGTATTGAATCGTCGGTTAAGACCCAAAAATGCTCGAACATAATCGGGTGAACTTAAATAGGAAATGATGGTGTACACGAGCTCATTTGGTAAAATTTCAAGACAACTATTGAACAGGAAAGAGAATGAAAAAGTGCGTGTTTACTGTATGGAAGTATCAAAGTCTGTTCTTACCTTATAGGTACAATTGAATCGATTGGCCGTTTATCAAATAATGTAGTACCACTTTGAAATATGTGATGTCCTTCAGCAATTCTATTCGATCTAGTCTGGGACAATATTGATGAATAGTTTGTGATGGGTGAACTAATGATCCAGTTGTTAGTGTCCTGACATTCGACTTTTAGTCGCTTGTTGACTGATTCATTATCACCTTTTAAAATAAAACGAACGAACTATATGTGATCATAAAGTCAATCAAGTACTGTACCAGGCTCTTTTCTGCTGTTTTTGCCTTGACCTTTCATCATCTGATCATCAATGGGTTTCATTGCATCAAAATCTGAAACAAAAATCGACAGAGGACTGCATCAATTCGCTATAAATATTCATAGATAGATCATAACTATATATGAATAATAGATAACTCTGCGCTACTCATTCGTATCTTCTAAAGACTTCACATAAGTATGAAGCCTTTTGTTTTTTGTTAACCGTGTATTTACAACGGCAATAGCAGTTGAAAAAGGCAAAATCTTATCATGCTTGTCATGCATTACCGGCGAAAATAATTCACAGTCCAACCAACAGTTAATATTGAACGTGAACTACTAAAAAAAAAACCCAAAAGAATTTCTTGAACAGTTGATGAATTATGAAGTGACAAAAACAAAATCTAGAACAATAACAAGAGGTGAAGTCGATATTTATATCGAGTCTAAAGTAGATAAATATATATATATTTAATTCCATGCACCTCAACTGTTATCAAAATAGAGGTTGCGGTAGTAGGTTAAGTTTTAAACGAAAAAAGGTCTAGCTTAGATTCAGCAGCTGTTACTAGTATTTTATTTTTTTCATTTAATTTTAATCAACGATTTAAGTCGGAAGACAAAGTTTTCTCCATTTCGAGCTATGGCTGGAACTGATGAAAACCTTAAACATGGTATTTCTCATAAATCAACAAGAATTTCATCTCTTATTGTCAGAAGATATTCAGAATACTCAGGAAAATACTATTAACATTATTTACTTTGTGGTACTCCTTAAAAGATTCGTAGTTTTTAATAAGGAACAATGAATGGTAGTTAGTTCTGATTACCAAGCGTGTTCATAACATGTTTCACATGTTCATCCTACTTATATTGCTCTAATCACTTTGATTTTCTAAAGATTGTTTTCTTGAGAAACTTTCCGATTTTTCCGATAATTCGTCGACTGAAATGAAGTTCATTCTGGTTTCGTCTCTATTAAAAAATGCGACAGATCTGAATTTTATAAAAAGGTAATGTAAAATGTAGAGAGAATTGTTTCTCAAACTGACTCGAAGCTGTCGACACGTGTTTACTGTGTGTGGGCGATGCGTCACACTTTTGTAGTATGCATCGTTCTCTATTTCATAGTCTTTCTCTTGCTGTAGTATTTTTTTACCTGTGTGGAAGGAAGAGAACATGCATCTTAATGATTTCATCGAACAAAAACCAACTAATCATTTATCAACACACGACGAGCGTAGTGTCATACATCGAGAAAATTGCAGATGTAATCACACCTTTCAATAGAAATGAAGTATATGGCATTCGGTGAAATTTTTTCACCACGTTTAGGGTCCATTTTCTGCTCATATCTCAAAATGTCTCGATATATGACACGATGGAACCAGAAAAAAGTTTACCAATCTTTTATATCAGCGCTCGATAATTCGTTCACCAACATTTCTTGTTGTGTCCTCTAAAACATACTGAAGGATTTGGAGACATTGAAGAATTTTCTAGAACATTTCTTTTATTGACTCATTGGAATCTTAAGAAGGAAGTCAAGAATTCATACTCTGTTTTCTGGTTGCTATCCAAAGACAAACTAGAAATAAGGAAAAAAAATATAAGTATGAAAATCACAATGATGCTCAAAATATTTCAAATCGTTTAATGTGAAAACCCAGACAACGAATGGCAGCAACTATGTGTAACAAAATGCGTCATAAACAACGAAAATGTATTCGTCAACGACTACATTTTCGAACTTCCAATTCATGATTTAAAATCATTAATACATATCAGAGTAACGAGAAATTATTTTCATAGGTTAATAATTTATTGTATGAGTACATAGGTCATATAGTTACGTGAAACGAGAATAATTAAATAATTTCATGATTATTTCAAAAGAGAATAACAATCGCTGAAAGCATTGATATATTTTTAGTGATGAGATATCACTGCTTTTCGAAAGGCCTTACGAAACATATCACGTAAATTCCGTTTTTCACTACGACTCTTGTCTTGATAGGAGAAAATGTTGACTTTTTGAATTCGATCGAAAATCTGTCTCACACGTTTGTCTTTTTTACGTTGTTCGATTAATTGTCTAACAAATGTCATTTTAACAGTCATGGGCATATAGCATAGATCCAATTCTCTCACATTCGGTACTAATAAAAGCCATACAGTCAATGTGATTGAATTGATACCAGCGTATTCAGCTGATCCCAGATTGAAATATTTTACATTGCGTAAAATTGGCGCTGGTGACCTTTGTGTACTGATCAGCTAAAAACCAATAGTCTATATAATTATCAAAGAAAATCGAGTCAAAATTCTAACCATGGTGTATTGTACAACGTGTTGAGTTACAGTCAATCGTCACTAGAATGTGTCTTTTTTTAACGGATTTTTTTAGATGCATCGGTTTCTCTTTAATTGAGAGTTTTCAAACCCGAAGAAGACATAATCTCTGTCGATATGACTCGAGAGTAACACAATCAGATAGAAAATGATCGGTAAAGTATAGAATATGAGCAATACCCAGAAATAGAAGCATTCTTATGATTTTTCAAAAAAAAACTAGCAAGCTCGAAGGCGTGCACAGTAACTGGCGCTAAAGCTTTGTCAAAATTTTCAATCATAGAAGCAGAAGAGTAAGAAGTTTCGTTTCTGGTCGTTATGGGAAAATGTTGAAAACAATTTGAAGAAAAAAGTTTTTTTCATGCTTGTCACTGTACCTCAAGTTGAGCGTGAAGTTCTTACTTTTATGCTTTGAAATATGAATCTTCTATAAGGTTCTTTATAACTCTTTTTATAAATGGATGCTTGCTGCGAGAAACGATCGATTTTCATAAATGGTGGAATGACAAAACTGTTACGGGAAATGTAACTCGACATGGTTGACAATAAACCAAACAAAAATTAAAAAGTGACATGCTCACTACTTCTAGTGAAGAAATGTACAAACGAACCTGTTCAAACAGTGTACGCGACGAGACCAATTTCCAATATTTAAAACTCAACGTTTGATTGCATGAATGAAAAACTCGATGGATAAAGTGCAATAAAGCAATAGTTATTGGTTGCTCATTACTATTTACAAAGCTAATTGATCGAACTTTCGTAAAGTACAAAAACGACGAATCAAGTTTTCCCTTATTCAGCAGCCATCTATTCGAATCCATCGGAAAATCGAAAGATACATTGAAAGTACATGGCATAGAACCAATAAACATATTATTCTCTTCGTTTTTTAGAAGTAGTACTGGTTGTCGGTTACTATTGAGCCACCAATCACTCTGAAATTGATTTAATAGCTGAATCATATCGTTTCCTTCATCCTCACATATAATAGTAAATGCTAGTTTTTTTAGACGCTGACACTGTCGAAACATGTTTTCCAAATAATCTCCATTGATTACAAGTTCATCCGTATGAATAATCAAAGTTACATGTTCAAGAGACGATTGATAACAATAAATTAACTTTTTGATAGAATCAAGATACCAATGATCATCATCCTCATCGCTATTCTCACATATAATGTGTAATCGAGCTAGACGAGTGGGTTGATGGATAAGATTTAAGAAGGTAGAATAATTTAAAAAATCATGTGTAGGTATAAGCTCTTTAACACTCAGACTGATCAAATTGGGTGCGAGAGCAGAAAGACAGAATATATCTTGAATTGTACACTCTTCGACAGATAAACGCACAATGGCGGGACAAGGTTGAGTGTTGGAAATGATTTTGATCTAAACAACATGTTCGTATATGAAAGATAAATAAACTGAAGTAACTGTCAAACGCACTTGTTTGGCCTCAGTCAAGTATAAACGACCACTAAAAATGGATAATTCATCATCATCATCATCTTCTTCATAGTCATAAGAAGGCCAAATATCACATAATCGAAGTATATTTAAAGTTGATATAATAGCACCTAATGCGGAGAAGGCAACAACGACCTGTAGTTCAATCGTAAAAACATTTGAGCATTTTAAAATGATTGATTGGAGATTAGTAAACGAATGTGTACATGAAAAAATATTTGGGACTAGTTTTATGTTTAGAGTCATCGTTTGAATTGCATTCTCGATGAATGATCTATGTTCGATTAACCAAACTGGGGATGTGTCATTCGGAAATATGAAATTACGTGATGACTTGCAAACAAGCCAATCGAATCGCCGATTGATACGAGAAAATGATTGCACAAGATCTGTCGAGTTTAGATAAGACATAATCAAAATGATTAATTCATTCGGCAACATTTCAAATGAACTATTCAACAATGGACTAAAACGAAAGATTCGTCTACTTGTTGAATCTAATAACCCAACAATGTAATCTTACGTTCGAGGAGCATTGACACCATCATTCTGCTGTTCAAAATCAAGCAAGTTATCAATCAGATATTGATCATGCTCATTTTGAATGGCATTGTTGGCTATCGTTTGAACTGATATCGACTGAGTGATGAAATGACAATCTTCTAGATAATCGAATTTAATTCGTTTATTACTCATACGGAATTAACTAGACTAAGAAAGATACCTGAGTACAATTTGACATTTTCGTCATTATTGTGTGTTGTCTGGTTATGAACAAAGCTCATCTCCTTACAAAATCTAAAATAGACATTCAGCAATGAAGTGACTCGAAAATCAACTAGACTTGAAATACTAAATAGACAAATTTATAAAATACATTTTATTATAAAAACATAATCGTCCATCAAAGTACTTTTACTCATAGAAAGCATCTTACTTTGAAAGTGGATGACAAAATCATTGCGATTTCTCAACTGAGTAACTAATTTTTTCACCTAGTTCTTCGTCTTGCTCATAATTGCGACGAATTCAGTTTCTGAAAATGAATAGATGTTATGTATGAGAAAGTTTTAAAAAAAATTTTTGCAACGTTTACGGCAATTAGCATACATACTCGTACTGCGTTCCCCTCCCCATGTTCTTTTTACGACTTTGTCTTGCTACTTACGGCACGTTTTTTTCTTCAGTCAGCATGATTGTATATTCGGAAGAAAGAGAAGAGAATTTATGTGAGTCATTCGAATGACATATAAGGGACATGGATAAATGTTGTATGTAAAGAAACAAGAAAAAAAACATGGTTTCGTTTGCAATTTTCCAAGATGAATCATTCCAACTATTTCTATTGAGTATTTTAACGACTAGGAAACAAGGGTGTGGGTGTGTGGGTGTGGGGTGTGGGTGTGTGGGTGTGGGGTGTGGGTGTGGGGTGTGGGTGTGGGTGTCTAATTCGCATCCACGTTACATCCATACCCCGAAGTGCTATACAACAGGCTATAATAGTAGATGGATTTGTTGAGTTTATATATTCAAAATAGGGCTGAACGACTATGATAACGACATTAGACATTCACAGTAGGACCATTTCATATCTTGAGATTCTCTAGAACAATACATTGAGAAGTTGACTTTCGGGTA